TTTCACGCCCAAGATTTTAAATAAAAAATATTTCCTGAAGTTCAAAAAGATTTTTGAACATATTTTGATAAAAATTTTAAAACTTCTTTGTAAATATATTTTTTTTGAGGAATTCTTTTGTGAAATTTATTATAAATATACAATTTTTAAGTGAAATCTTTAATAGTTTTTTTTATCATTTTTGTAAAATCATCTATTTCTTAAGTATAAAAGAGGTGGATTTTCTAAATAATTTTTTTTAAAATATTTATATTCAACTTATTTCTGTTTTTTATAAGATCTTTTTAATGAAAATAATTTATTGTGACAATTGTCATATTCGTTATTTTATAAGATTTTTGAAATTTTTTGACTCAAAAGGGTAAAAATATCATTTATGTTGTAAAGAAGTTAAATTAAATATTCAATGAAGATGTTCCTTGGTAATATGGCAATTAACATAATCGGTATTTTTAAACATATTAGATTTTTTTAACGCTAATGGGCAAAAATATGTATTTTTAACATGTTAAATTATAATTTCAATTAGGATGTATCATATAAAAGCGACAATTGTCATAATCATTATTTTTAAAGTTTTTTTACAATTTTTTGACGTAAATGGGTAAAAATATAGATTATAAACATGCTAAATTAAAATTTCATGAAGATGTACCATTGAAAAGTGACAATTATCATAATCGTTATTTTTAAAGTTTTTTGAATTTTTTTGACCAAAATGGGTTAAAATAAGTATTGCTAGCTTTATTAAATAAAACCTCAGTGAAGATGTACCTAGATAAGTAGTGACAATTATCATAATCATTATTTTTAAACTTTTTTTGACATAAATGGGCCAAAATAAGTATTGATAACTTTACGGAAAAATAACTAACAATAACTTTGCTTTTGTAGACTTTATTTTTGGTTTCTACAAATCAAAATATATATTATTCAAAAATAAATTACAATCTTCTAATCGTAAAAAAAATTAGTATTATTTATTTTAAAATAAAATATAAAAATATCTTTGACCTCATTTCTTTTTCATATAAACATATAATATATCTTTGACATCATTTCTTTTTCATATAAAAATATAATATATCCTTGATATACTACAACACGCCCCTTTAACAAAAATCCTGGGCAAAATTATATATATTTTTTTTAAATCACTATGCTCAAAAAAATTTTAATCAGCGTATAAGCATATAATAAATGATTCAAAAAAAAATTAATCAGCGTATAAGCATTCAATAAATGATTCCCATTATTTTTTGTTTAAACCATATTTTATGTCTGCATTACTTCTTTATCACTTCATACACTCAATCAGATCTTGTTATCCCAGTATTGCTTTTAGAAGGTCGATTCTAACGTTGCCATCCTCCTTTCTTTTAGGCGATTTTAGTAGTATCCTCATAACTTTTTGTCCTCCTAACATAGTGTCGTTCCTCTTTTACGTTGGACATACGATGTACGTGGGTGCTTTTTGATTACACGATTATTTACACCATTGAAACCATTGAAATCTACATCTTTATTAACCAGGAACTATCCTTAAATATTTTCTTTTTTTTACAATTTCCTCTTTCAACCATTTCTATGCACTCTCTTCCGCAACTGATCCTCTGCCTGACACCTTCATTATTATCATCAAATTTACCCTATTTAATTTGTTTCCCAAATTTTCTATTAATACACCTTTCTCCCATTTTTTATTACTTCCATATAATCTAATCCACACTAACTGTCCTACAATATATTCCAATTCCCTTCTATCAATATCCTCAACAACTACCTCAGCTTTACTGGGTATCAACATTCCAAAAACATCCTTACCTTCCGGCCTATCATTTTTTCTGCCGGAGACAATAATTACCCATCGCATTATTATAATACAAATGCTTCACCCACATTTCTCCTTTTCCACTTTTGGTTTTCTTCAACCATCTTTAACCGTCGCTACCATCCGTTCCGCCTGTCCATTGGAACTGGGATGATACGGTGGCGTTAACACATGATATACACCCGTTTTTTCACAGAATCTCTTGAATTCTTCCCCGATAAAAGCTGGTCCACCATCCGATACTACAATTTTCGGAATACCAATCGACCATACTTTTTTAAAATGTTTAATCACAATATTCGCCGTTAACCCATGAATTTCTTCAAACTCTATCCATTTGGAGAACGCATCTACACTTAATATATACTTTTTTCCTTCATATTCGAAAAAATCAACATAAACCCTCTCTCCTGGTTCTACAACTTTTGGCCATGTACTATTTTTATCCTTACGGGGCATGTCAGACCATGCATTACAAATCTCACATTCTTTTCCCAATTTATCAATATCCTCGTTCATTTTCGGCCACCATACGTACTCTCTTCCCCACTGTTTCATACGAGTAACTCCTTGATGACCCGCATGTATAACATTCAAAATTTTTTCCCTCAATTTCCGGGGTATAACAGCTCAGGGTCCCCTCATAATACAATCGTCCACTATAGTTAATTCTTTTTCAATATTTTTGAAAACTTTATAATCATCTTTCCATGATCTTTTTCCCATTAGACATAATTTAACTACCGCTAACTCTATCTTTCCTTGTAAACCTTTGTATATCTTCCCATGTCGTTGGGCTACCCTTTATACTTCTCATTATCCTACGTACAAGACATTCTTCCCGATTATCAATTTTCAAAATCACCGATTCATCCACTCTTTCGCCAGCACCTAACCTTGACAAAATATCAGGTAACTGATTCTCTTTTCCCCTTCGATATTTTAAATTCAAATCAAAACTTCCTACTAACAATAACCATCGCTGAAGTCGAGGCGATAACATCAACTCTTTGTTATCCTTCTTGAATAAGTGAATCAACGGCTTATGATCTGTAAAAACAACAAACTTCCTACCTATAAGGTATTCACGACATTTCGTTAATCCAAAAATCACAGCTAAAGCCTCCTGCTCTATCATTGAATACCTCTTTTCTACCTCTCTAAACACTCTCGAGAAAAATAAAACAGGTCTTTCCATTCCATCTATCAAATGCAACATCGCCCCACCTACTCCTCTATTACAAGCATCTACAGCCAAAACTACTTCCAGATCACTATTAAAACATACTAGAATGGGCTCTTTCCCAATTCTCTCTTTTAACGTTCTGAACGCAATCTCTTGTTCATCTTTCCATTCAAAATGTACCCCTTTCCTTAATAATTCATATAAAGGTGCAGCTATTTCTGCAAAACTCTATATAAACCGATGGTAATAATTTACCATTCCCATAAACGACTGGACCTCTACTTTACTGGTCGGCCTATTCAAATTCGCAATACTTAACAAATTCTTATCTAACGGTTTTACCTCCATTCCATTAATCCTATGACCCAAATACGTCACTTCAGTTACTCCCAACACACTATTTTCACGACTCGCCTCTAATCCTTTATTTCGAATTCTAATAAATACTTTTTCTAGCCTATCATCATGTTGTTTCATCGTTATTCCTACAACCAAAACATCATCCATATAATAAAAAACACCCTCTAAACCTTGGAAAACAGCAGCCATTGTCCGCTGAAAAATAGGGGCTGATACACTTAACCCAAATGGTAATCGACAAAATGTAAAAAAGCCCTTGAATGTCGTAATCGTCAACAACTTCCTAGTCGTTTTTACCATCGGTAACTGCAAATATGCACACGAAAAATAAATCTTGGAAAAATATTTTCCCCCTTTCAAACTGGCCAAAATTTCTTCTATTCACGGTAGCGGATATTTCACCTCTACAACCCAAGGATTCAAGGTCACTCTAAAATCTGCACATAACCTCAATTTTCCATTGGCCTTTCTAACAGGCACCAACGGAGTTGCTCATTCACTATAACCAATAGGGCAAATAATTCCATCTCTCACCCAATTGTCTAATTCTTTTTCCATTTCCGCCCTCCATTCAAATGGAACTCTTCTCACCGGACACAAAACCTTCCTTTAAACGGATATCAACTTCATAATCCACTAAACATCCTAATTTCTCCTCAAAAATTTCACTATAACTATTCATTAAAACTGCCACTGCAAGCTTCCAATTTTCCAAACTCGACAATTGTTCCTTTCCTTCCCCTCCATTAATCTTTTTTTCTTACAAATTTCGCCGGGAAATTCTGTAATACTGGTATATCTTTCTTTTCATTATCCAGTTCCTTACACATTTCTTGACTCATAATTTTCTCCTCTATTTATTTTGTTTTTGTGACTATTTTTATTTCATCATTATTTCGCTCATTAATACATTTTCTACAAGGTATTTCCTTTTTTACCTCTCTAGGATCGTCATTTTCCATAATATTAACACTTTGCGACAACTCAGTATATCTTACCTTTCTTTTTTTAACTGGAACTATCCGCGTTTGCGGCATATTTTTTTTTTCAAATTCACTTTTTTGATTACCCATCACACCATTTCCAATGAGTTCACTTTTTGCATGACATAATTCTCTATTTTTTTTCATCGTTCTGAACTTCAATCATTTCATCCCGTTTAATTTCATTTGAAAAGAGACCCCAAAAATTATTTAATGGACCAATCTTAACAATCCATTCCCAACCCATAATCGTATCCACCTTTTTATCTACAATCCACAAATTTAAATAATTAACTATATCATTTATTACAAACGGCACTTCAATTTTTCCTACAACCTTTATTTCCGATCCATCAAACTGTTTAACTCTCATCTCTTCTTTAATTATATTCTCCTCTGGCCAATATCTACAAAAATTTTCATAACCTACGATCGATATTGCCGCACCTGTATCCAATAACATTAATATTTTTCTACTTCCTACAACTATTTCCACACGAGGACATTTATCCTTCTCACTTTTGTCCTCTAATTTTAAAACAGGGATTCTATAATCCTTTATTCCACCATTTACCAAATTTACATTTTTTTTTACCAACTAAATCTCTCTTAATTTCTACATCTCCATCCACACGAAATTTCATTTCAACATATCAGTATTTTGTATCACTCTCACACTAGATGCAGGTGCTATGTATTTCACTGCCGGAAATGCTTCTCCATTTATCGGTTCTCTTACATAACAATTCTCTTTAGCATGCCCCATTTTTCCACATCTTTCACATTGAAGTGTTCTTTGATTATTTCCCATAATACGATACGTCGGAACATAACATTTTTCACTACTATGTCCAACTCCTCCACATCTATTACATTTAATCGGTTGCTTGTTAAACATTGCCCCGTTCTCAACACAATTTCTACTTATATGCCCAAATTCTCCACATGAATAACATTTTATATTTTGCATATTAATCTTCGGACGATTAAATCTATTTCGGAAAAAATTTTCTTTTTCTCAATTTTCCCTTTCATTTCTCTGCAAATTCATTGCCGTACTATACTCTTTAAAATGATCGTATTCCTTATCATTTCTTCGATCATCTCTTCTGCTCACAATTTTCCCCATGACTATAATTATTTCGTTTATTAATTCTCATTCCACTTTCATCTTTAATATCTATTTCTCTTTTATTATCTATATCTTTTCGTTCCTCTTCCGATCTAATAATATTGATACTTTTCCTCATTCTTTCTATCATATTTTTATTTAACATTTTCCATATTTCATCCTTTAAATTTAACATCTCTTCCGTAATTCTTTCCTTTTCATTAACGTTTTTTACTTCCCTTTCATTTCTTCCTTTTTCAATTTCATTATTTTTCATTTCAATTTCCTCCGTAATTTTTATTCTATCTCTTTCTATAACTCTTTTTATTTTTTTTCGATGTATCCATAATACCCATTATCCATAAACATATCACTACTAGAGCTATAATACAATTATTTTTCCACATACTTTTGAGTTTTTATATTTCTTTTATAATTAAACATTTATTTTTTATTCACAACTTTATAAAAAATTTATTAAAACTTTTATTATAAAAATTTTAACATTACTAAAAGTTAAACAATATATCAAACCTAATATAATTAATAATATCAAAATTATATAAATGCACATCATTTTATATATTCCAAAAATTTTTTTATATTTTTATTTTAAGAATTTTTTATTTTCCACCGTGATTGTATTTTTTATTAGTACACTGCGTCCACTATTACCCAGATATCTTGTCCGTTGATTAAATAAAAATTAAACGGCACCAACTTTTGTAGTCTTACGGAAAAATAACTAACAATAACTTTGCTTTTGTAGACTTTATTTTTGGTTTCTACAAATCAAAATATATATTATTCAAAAATAAATTACAATCTTCGAATCGTAAAAAAAATTATTATTATTTCTTTTAAAATAAAATACAAAAATATCTTTGACCTCATTTCTTTTTCATATAAACATATAATATATCTTTGTCATCATTTCTTTTTCATATAAAAATATAATATATCCTTGACATACTATACAACAATAACATAATTAAATAAAACTTCAGTGAAGATACCCTGTCAAAATCGTTATTTTTAAAGTTTTTTATATTTTTTTAACGGAAATGGGTAATAATATAGATTGTAAACATGTTAAATAAGAATTTCATGAAGATGTACCATAAAAAAGTGACAATTGTCATAATCGTTATTTTATAACTTTTTTAAATTTTAATGACGTAAATGGGCTAAAATAAGTATTGCTAACATCTTAAAATAAAATTTCAGTGAAAATGTACCCTAGATAAGTAACAATTGTCATAATCGTTATTTTTTAAATTATTTGAATTTTTTTGACGCAAATGGGTATAAATATAGATTGTAAACATGTTAAATTAAAATTTCAAGAAGAAGTAATAATCTTATTTTCTAACTTTTTGAATTTTTTTGACGTAAATGGGCTAAAATAAGTATTGCTAACATGTTTAAATAAAATTTCAGTGAAGATGTACCATAAGTGACAATTGTCATAATCATTATTTTTAAAATTTTTTTAATTTTTTTGACGCAAATGGGTAAAAATATAGATTGTAAACATGTTAAATTAAAATTTCATGAGGATGCACCATAGAAAAATGACAATTGTCATAATCGTTATTTTTAAAATTATTTAAATTTTTTAAACGCAAATGGGCAAAAATATAAATTGCTTACATGTTAAAATAAAATTTCAGTGAAGATGTACCATAGATAAGTTACAATTGTCATAATCGTTTTTTTTTGAATTATTTTGTTGCAAATGGGTAAAAATATAGATTGTAAATATGCTAAATTAAATTTTCATGAAGATCATTAGAAAGTGACAATTGTTATAATCGTTTATTTTTAAAGTTCTTTGATGTAAATGGGTTAAAATATAGATTGTAATCCATTTTAACCATATGTTTATAAAAATAAAACTTAACATTAAATTTATAGGATGTTGATCTTGATTGTATCATTACAACTATCTTTAATAATCATTTTGCATTTTTTTTATCAAATTTTAAGCAGGATAAAAGGAACAACGATTATGAGCATGAAATAATCGATTTGTTTTTTTGTTTCGACTGAAGTTTTATTTTAACATGTTAACAATTTATATTTTTGTCCAATTTAGTCAAACAATTCAAAAACTTTAAAAATAACGATTATGACTATTGTCACTTATCCATGGTTGGGCAAATTTTGAAAAAATTGTATTCGGATACAGATACAGATACTCTCTAAAATTTTGTATGTAAGATACAAGATACTAGATACCTTGGCGAATTATTAATAAGATACAAGATACTTATATCTTTAAAAAAAAAGAGTATCTAAGATACAAGATACTTTTTAAAAAATACTTCAAATTCAAAATCAAAATGTTTCAAGCTTTATTTTTTTTAAACTATATTTTAAATTTATAAAAAATATGAAAATAATAGATTTTATATAAAGATATTTTTACAAATTGTATATTATATTAAAACTAATTAGTAACAATAAATCAACATCATAAATTAGAATTACTTTTTAAGATTATTAATTTTTCAAATAATATGTCGTTGAGTCTTTGACGAGGTCTATTGACCATATTTGCAAAGCTGAATAGCCGTTCAACAGGCGCAGGGATGGTAATATAGTGTTATATTTAATAAATATTTCTTTTATATATTTATAACTATTTAACATATTTATATTGCGCCTGTCATCTTTCATATAATTAAGAACCTCTAATTCAATCTCATTTATTGAATTATTGGAATTGGATGTGCTACTTTGAAAACAAAAATAATCATCATCTTCATCATTTGAAGATTTTGTTGATGTATTAATTTCAATATTATTTCTAAAAATAATTACAGCTTCATGTAATAATAAATCTTGTAGATATTTTTTTTCTTTTTCACCGTCAAACCACTTTTTAAAGAATGGATGATAAATTGTTGCTAAAAATGAGCTTTTATAGCTATCATCATGTTCATATATATTTTTAAATCTTTTTTTTAAAGAATTTTCTATTGCAATATAGCTATAGGTTTGCAAAAATGTAGGTCATTTTGAATTAAGTTGGTTATTTTATAAGATTTTTGAAATTTTTTGACTCAAAAGGGTAAAAATATCATTTAGATTGTAAACATGCTAAATTAAAATTTCATGAAGATCTACCATTGAAAAGTAACAATTGTCATAATCGTTATTTTTAAAGTTTTTTAAATTTTTTTGACCAAAATGCGTTATACTAGTATGTTTAAATAAAACTTCAGTGAAGATGTACCCTAGATAAGTGTCAATTATCATAATCATTATTTTTAAACTTTTTTAACGTAAATGGGTAAAAATATAGATTGTAAACATGTTAAATTAAAATTTCATGAAGATGTACCATAGAAAAGTGACAATTGTCATAATCGTTATTTTATAACTTTTTTGAATTTTTTTGACGTAAATGGGCTAAAATAAGTATTGCTAACATGTTTATATAAAATTTCAGTGAAGATGTACCATAGATAAGTTACAATTGTCATAATCGTTGTTTATTTTGAATTCTTTTGTTGTAAATGGGTAAAAGTATAGATTGTAAACATGCTAAATTAAAATTTCAGATGTACCATTGAAAAGTGACAATTGTCATAATCGTTATTTTTAAAGTTTCTTGAATTTTTTTGACCAAAATGGGTTAGAATAAATATTGCTATCATTTTTAAATAAAACTTCAGTGAAGATGCACCATAGATAAGTGACAATTATCATAATCATTATTTTTAAACTTTTTTGACGACAATGGGCCAAAATAAGTATTGATAGCATATTTAAATAAAACTTCAGTGAAGATGTACCCTAGATAAGTTACAATTGTCATAATCGTTGTTTATTTTGAATTCTTTTGTTGTAAATGGGTAAAAGTATAGATTGTAAACATGCTAAATTGTGACAATTGTCATAATCGTTATTTTTAAATTTTTTTGACCAAAATGCGTTAAAATAAGTATTGCTAGTATGTTTAAATAAATGAAGATTTACCCTAGATAAGTGACAATTATCATAATGACTATTTTTAAACTTTTTTAAATTTTTTTTAACGTAAATGGGCAAAAATATAGATTGTAAACATGTTAAATTAGAATTTCATGAAGATGTACCATAAAAAAGTGACAATTGTCATCGTAATATTATAACTTTTTTAAATTTTTTTGACGGAAATGGGCTAAAATAAGTATTGCTAACATGTTAAAATAAAATTTCAGTGAAAATATACCTTAGATAAGTGACAAATTGTCATAATCGTTATTTTTAAAGTTTTTTGTATTTTTTTGACGCAAATGGGTAAAAATATAGATTGTAAACATGTTAAATTAAAATTTCATGAAGATGTACCAGAAAAGTGACAATTGTCATAATCGTTATTTTATAACTTTTTGAATTTTTTTGACGTAAATGGGCTAAAATAAATATTGCAAACATGTTTAAATAAAAATTCAGTGAAGTGTACCTTAGATAAGTGACAAATTGTCATAATCGTTATTTATGAAGTTTTTTATATTTTTTTGACGCAAATGGGTAAAAATATAGATTGTAAACATGTTAAATTAAAATTTCATGAAGATGTACCATAGAAAAGTGACAATTGTCATAATCGTTATTTTATAAATTTTTGAATTTTTTTGACGTAAATGGGCTAAAATAAGTATTGCAAACATGTTTAAATAAAATTTCAGTGAAGATGTACCCTGGATAAGTGACAATTGTCATAATCTTTATTTTTAAACTTTTTTGAATTTTTTTGACGCAAATGGGTAAAAATATAGATTGTAAACATGTTAAATTAAAATTTCATTAGCATCATAGAAAGGTGACAATTGTCATAATCGTTATTTTTAAAATCATTTGAATTTTTTAGACTCAAATGGGCAAAAATATAAATTGCTTACTAAAATATTTCTAACAACTACACTTTATTTTTCACTAATAAATTCTAATAGTATAATCATAAAAATCGATATCAAATAATTCAAATTCCAATTCATAAATATACAATTCATTTAATAAAATCTCTTTTTCAAAGTAAAACATCAATTTATAATTTTTATAAAAGTCAAAAGTTTTTGTGTTTTCAAAATAAAAATCAATTATCATATCATATAATATATTTTATATATATTATTATTTTATTGATTGGCATTATATTTATCAATAATTATTTAAATTTATCAATAATTATTTACAAAGAAAATTAAATATATATAAGATATACATCACGCCCGCCTTATAAAAGACCAAGACATGAAAAAAAAACGCGTATATAAATTTTACATTATATGTCCTCTTCTTTATCTTTTAATATCTCCTCTTCTTCAGTTTCCATAACATTATATTTCTTTTGAACATCTGTATTATTTGTCACTTTAACTATATTTGATCTCAACTTGGTCGAATTATCATTTTTAGCTTGCATCTTCCCATAATATTGGTTTCCCATCGATGTAATTCCTACTGTCCTATCTTGAATTATATTGGTTCTTTTTAACATTCCATCATATTTAATAGGCGGCCACTGCCTATTTCCATACTGTTTATATCTTGATTCTATCTCATTTATTTTATTATAATTTTGGTACTTAACCTCCGACGGTACCTTATTATTTTTTCCACAAAAATAGCTTGAGGTTGGAAATTTCTCTGTATCACTTGGATAATCTTTGCATTCTTGATTCATCAACACATGAGTCGGAATTTGACAATCCTTGATCTGATGTCCAAAACTCTGACATCTGAAACAGCCTTTAAATATATCGGATTTAGGTTTTTTTATTCCTAATTTTTTCTTTTTTATTATTTTCACATAAATAATCTGTTCTGGTGTGTCTATTTTATAATACATCACGATATATATTTCAATATTTTTTTTTACTTTTAAATAAATACTCTAATTTATTATTATTTTTTTAAAAAAATTTTAATTTTGAAATTATAATTAATGAATTTTCTCTTTTAGAATAAATTACTACTTATTAATTATTTTTTTTTAAATAATTTTTCTCTTTTTAAATATATCATAATTTGCAAATTACCCCTATGTAATTCAAATTAAAATAAAAACAACACTCATGTTATTTTCTTTTACAAAATTATGTTACTTTTCATTTTTCTTAAATGAAGAAAATCCCTAATTATTAATTATCATTTTTAATAATCTCTCTCTATATTAACACATAACAGTACCCCTATGTAATTCATATATAACAATAATTTCTCCATTTTCTATAACATACATTATTTACATATTTCCCTTATGTAAATTATATAAAGAAAGAAACTTTCCATGAAAACACCACTCATGTTTTTATTTCAAAAAAAATATTTTGTTTTTCACTTTTCTTTCCATATTATCATTTTTAATAATCTTTCTCTTTATTAACACATAAAATATTTACCATTATCCTTATGCCATTCAAATTAAAAAAACATTTTCACAAAAACACCATTCATGTTTTTATTTTAAAAAATATTTTACTCTTCAATTTTTTTTTAAAAGAAACTCATAAAACATGTTATCTTATTTTCATAAAAAAAATTATTATGATAATCTTCTCTATATCACAATAACATGATATTAAATAAAATTAAATCAAATATTAATATTTAAAAACTGATACAAATATCATATAAGATTTCTGTCCTAAGAATTAGCTCCCATAGCTTTATATTAATATTTAAAAACTGATACAAATATCATATAAGATTTCTGTCCTAAGAATTATGTCCTAAAAATTATAAGAACCACAATTCTGTTTTTTAGGTACTAATTCCCCCTTTATCAGTTACCCTAATAAAATCATTATGACGTACTCCCATAGTACCATCATCAAATCGTATTGTACATAATTTATTCCCAATATTATCTATAACACAACCTTTCTCCCATTTTTTTTTATGGTCAAAAAGTCTACCCCAAATAATTTTCCCCACAGGAAATTTTATATTGGTTTTTTCACAAGATAATATATTGTCAATTTCTTTTGACTTAAGAAAATCTAAGGGTAATCTGGTTCTTCTACCCAAAAATAATTCAACAGGAGTAACTCCTTCCTTCATTTTTTTCTTGTTTCGCCTTTTTATCCAATTTTTTACAATATCTACCATCCTTTCAGCCTGGCCATTAGAGCTAGGATGATAAGGTGGAGTCAAAATATGTTTAATTTTAATTGAATTACAAAATTGCTTAAAATTTTCACTTATAAAAGCCGGACCGCCATCCGATACAATTATTTTAGGAATCCCAAATTTAGCCCACAATTTTTGTAATAATTTAATAACAACTTTAGTTGTTAACCCTTGAACCTCTTCAAATTCAATCCATTTGGAATATGAATCCACAACCAAAAAATATGATTTTTTATCCAATTCAAAAAAATAAATGTGGAGACGATCCCATGGTTTCTTTGATTTGGGCCACACTTGTCCCATCTCTTTACGGGGCATAACGGCACAAGTATTACATGGAACATATTCCTTTGTAATTTTTTCTATATCATTACCCATCCCAGGCCACCACACATATTCACGAGCCCAAGATTTCATTTTAACTTGACCCTGATGTCATGCATGTAATAAATTAATTATTTTAGCACGTAATTTCAAAGGAATTACTGCCCTATTTCCTCTCATTAAACAATCATCTACCACAGATAATTCTTTTTCGAATTTTTTATAAATTTTATAATTATTTTTCCATGGTTTTTTTCCCGTTAAAAATAATTTTATTTGTCTCAATACTTTATCTTTTAAAGTATATGATTTGAGATCTTCCCAAGTTGTAGGACCTCCCTTTAACATATATGATAGAGTACGCACTAATGCATCTTCTCTATCAATAATCATGTTATCAATAATTTCAGGAGTAGCACAACCTGCCCCTAATCTCGATAATATATCTGGCAAATGATTTTCTCTACCTCGCCGATATTTTATATCTACGTTAAAACTTCCCACAAGTAACAACCACCGTTGTAACCTAGGAGACATCATTAATTCTTTGTTATCTTTCTTATATAAATGAATTAATGGCTTGTGATCTGTATAAATCACAAATCTTTTCCCGATTAAATACTCGCGACATTTGGTCAATCCAAAAATAATCGCTAAGGCCTCCTGTTCTATAACAGAGTACCTCGTTTCAACTTCATGAAATATTCTCGAAAATCCTGTTCTATAACAGAGTACCTCGTTTCAACTTCATGAAATATTCTCGAAAAAAAAAATAATTGGTCTCTCTAAACCATCAATGACATGTAATAATGCACCTCCTACACCTTTATTGGATGCATCAACCGCAAGAATTATCTCCAAATCATTGTTAAAACACACTGAAATTGGTTCCTCGCCAATTTTTCTCTTTAAATTTTCAAAAGCATTTCTTTGTTCAATTTTCCATTCAAAATTAACACCTTTTTTTAATAAGTCATATAGTGGAGCTGCTATTTTTGCAAAATTATCCACAAATCTATGATAATAATTTATCATGCCCAAAAGACTGCACTTCAGCTTTATTACTAGGCTGATTTATGTTTAAAATATTTTTTAAATTTTTATCAAGCGGCTTCACTTCAATTCCATTAATTTGATGACCCAAATACACTATTTCGGTGACACCAAGAATACTTTTCTCTTTACTGGCTTGTAAACCTTTATCTTGAATTCTCTTGAAAACCTCTTCAAGACGTTGATTATGTTGTTCTGCCGTCAATCCAGTTATCAACACATCATCCATATAAAATACGCCTTCCAAACCCTGGAAAACTTATGCCATTGTTCTCTGAAAAATCGTGCAGATACACTTAATCCAAAAGGTAATCTACAAAATGCAAATAATCCTTTAGGCGTTGTTATTGTTAACAATTTACGAATTTCTTCTTTCAAAGACAATTGTAAATATGCTGATGAAAAGTCAACTTTTGAAAAATATTTGGCTCCCTTTAAATTTGCCAAAATTTCTTCAATTCGAGGTAATGGATATTTCACTTCCACAACCCATTTGTTAAGTGTTACTCGAAAATCTGCACATAATCTAAGTTTTCCATTATTCCACAGGAATAATAATACCATCATTAACCCATTTATCTAATTCTTCGTTGATCTCCTTTTTCCACTCAAAAGGAACTCTACGACACGCTAAGAAAATAGGTGAAAATCCCTCTTTTAATTTTAAATCTACTGGATAATCATTTAGACATCCCAAAGTGTCTTCAAAAATTATATCATATTTTTCAACTAAAATAGGTATAGCGTTTTTAACTCTGTTTAATTCATTAATTTCATTATTAATTTTTTTATCATTATCAACTTCACTATTGATCTTATATTGATTTGAATCTATCATGGATTTTGCAGGATATTCACAAATATTCTTATTAACGATAGAATCTTTCGCTTCACTCATTAATTTATTCATTTCCCTTTCTTTAAGCTTTTCCCTGACTTCACTAGCCATTATTTTTCTTTCGGCATTATCTCTAGCCAATTCGCTATCAATGATAAATAAATCCCAATAATTATTTCTAGGTCCAAGTTTGCTAATCCAATCCCAACCCATAATTGTTTCAACATTTTTTTCCCACTATCCATAAATCCAAAATTATACGAATATCATGGAAAAGAACATCCCACTGATTTCTACCCAAAACTTTGATTTCAGATCCATCAAATTGTTTTATACACATATTTTGTCTCTCGACAATACCATTTGGCCAATATTTATAAAAATTTTCACTAGACATTATTGAAATACTTGCCCCGGTATCAAATAACATTTCAACCATTTGTCCACCAAATTTTAAATTAATATGAGGACATGAACTCTGTCCCTTTGCTCCCTCAGTTATTAAATTTTTAGGCAATTTAATCGGTTGAATGGTATTTATTTTAACCTCTTTTTCAATACAATTAATATTCATACCTAAATTCATCTCAGAATTTAAAGATCTCTGAATCTCATTTATGTTTTTATTAAAAATCTCTCCTGGATATTTCTCACTTGTTTGATTACAATAATCCTTTTTATTCAGATTATTGGTTAATTTAAAATTTTTTATTTTATCAAAATGACAATAAAAATTTCCTACATTAAAACTCTTTTTATTCAAGTTAAATTTCAATGTATAATCATCATTCCCATGATGATTATCAATTTTATTATATATATCCACAAAATTTTTAATAAAACTATATATATCAAAATATTTATTATTCTCTAAATATGATTTTTCTATTTTTATATGATTCTCTTTCAAATCATATATTCAATGTGACCCACTCACACTTTGGATACAATGTATGGCAATATGTCCCATTTCTTCATATTTGAAACACATTCTATCATGGTCTGTATTGTAAGTTTTGATTTCATCCACATTTATAATCTGAGGATTTTGTATACTTCGAACCACTGGATTTATCACTACCGATGTTCGTTGCGGAAATCCACTTTTGAAATTGGCTTCTTTCACCATGCAATTTCTTTTTATATGTCCTACAAAACCACATCTATGACACACTATGTCATTTTTTTGACTTAGTTTTGCGGTCACATTCTCATTAGTTTTTCGGTCTCTTGAAAAACAATTTTTACCGATATGTCCTTTTCTTCCACAAAGTTCACAACTTTCAATCACATTATTACTTTTGATTTTTAAGTTGCTTCTCTGGACAAATTTTTCATATTTTCTCTCATTTCTCTAATTTCACATAAAATTAGAGATTCTTCGGTACTTTGTCTCAAAGTATTATTTGTTTTATTATTTTTCAAAATTTCTACTGGTTTCTCGATTAAAACCTCAGAAATTTGCTTTTTAAATTCAATCACAATTGAATTTAATTTTTTATTTATATCCTCCGATATGTCAATATTTTGAGGAAAATTAAATACTTCCCCCGTATCTAATATTTTCTCATATTTTTCTTCAACATTTTTTTTACCATTTAAATTTTTTAATTCTAACAAAATTAAATGTAAACTATTTTTGATATCTTCAGAAATATCTGGAGATTTCACCAAAACTTTAGGAATTAAATTTTCGGTATTTGTATTTTTTATATCATTTTCTCTATTTTTAAGAGATCTTCTTTTTATTTTCCTTATTACTTGTTTCATTATAATTAAGATTACATAAAACACAAAAAAAAATAATGCAGTAATGACATTATTGGTCACATCCACTTTATTAAAGTTTGAATTAAAAATTTTATTAAAATTACTCTTAAAATTTGACATTTTATTAATATTATGCTTATTATAATTATCATTAAAATAAAAAGGCATTTTTTCATTAATTACCCAAAATTTAAAATTTTATCTTATATATTTCAAATTTTAATCCAAAAAATCCTACTATTGCGTTGTGTAATTTATAATACAAAAAAAATTTCTTACCTTTATATATCCGGAATCCACTATTATTTTGGGAACCCGGTCCTAGAAATTGTTTTCATTAATAACGTCTGAAATTTATTTTTATAAAACACTCTTGTTTTATTTTTTCTCTAAATATTTCAATTTTTATATTTTTCTCTAACTTATTTTTTCCCTAATAAGTGTTCACGAATCCTGGTCGTTCGGTACCAATAAAATATTTCTCAACAACTTAATAAAATATTTCTAACAACTACACTTTATTTTTCACTAATAAATTCTAATAGTATAATCATAAAAATCGATATCAAATAATTCAAATTCCAATTCATAAATATACAATTCATTTAATAAAATCTCTTTTTCGAAGTAAAACATCAATTTATAATTTTTATAAAAGTCAAAAGTTTTTGTGTTTTCAAAATAATAATCATAATCTCATATCATATAATATATTTTATATATATTATTATTTTTTTAATACAAATTATTTTATTGATTGACATTATATTTATCAATAATTATTTAAATTTATCAGTAATTATTTACAAAGAAAATAAAATATATATAAGATATACATCACTTACATGTTAAAATAAAATTTCAGTGAAGATGTACCATAGATAAGTTACATTTGTCATAATCGTTGTTAATAAGGTTTTTTTGAATATTTTTGTTGCAAATGGATTAAAATATAGATTATAAACATTCTAAATTAAAATTTCACGAAAATATACCATTGAAAAGTGAGGATTTTATAATCGTTATTTTTAAAGGTCTTTGATGTAAATGGGTTAAAATATAGATTAATCCATTTTAACCATAATAAAATCTTAACATTTAATTTATAGGATGTTAATTGTATCATATTACTAAATAATCATATGGTTTTTAAGTTCTTTCTATAAAAATCCTACCCTGAATTCAGACTCATCACTATTTTGCCACGAGTATACAAAATATTTGCTAACTGTGAATTCAAGGTTATACATTTTTATAATCTAGAATTAAAATTTATTAATTAAAGGAATAAGATTGTGAATCCATATCTTAAAAGTTTAGAATTTAACTTAGGTTACATCTATCTTTAATAATCACTTTGCATATTTTTATCAAATTTGAAGCAGGATAAAAGGAACAACGATTATGAGAATGAAAATATCGATTTGTTTTTTTGTTTGGACTGAAATTTTATTTTAACATGTTAACAATTTATATTTTTGTCCAATTGCGTCAAACAATTCAAAAACTTTAAAAATAACGATTATGACTATTGTCACTTATCTAGGGTACATCTTCACTGAAATATTATTTTAACATGTTAGCAATTTATATTTTTGTCCAATTGCGTCAAATAATTCAAAAACTTTAAAAATAACGATTATGACTATTGTCACTTATCTGAGCAAAATTTTTTTTAGATTATACGTTCAAAAGACTTAAAAGTGATTTTATATGAATTATATTTTTCTGGTTTTGATGTTTGTGGAAGGATATTATATTACTATTGAAATTATTCTGGATAGTATTATTATAAAGTCATTGAGAATAATCTACTAAATTATAATAACATATTATTGATGCATTTAAAAAATATATTTATTATATATTATCGAAGATATGGTTATGATATGTAAGATAAACCCGGCCGAAGGTCGGGCAAAAGGGCCTAAGGCCCGTTAAAGAGGTCTGGGGGCGAAGCCCCCCAGATTTTATATGTATGGACTCCCTCTAAGGAAAATTCCTAGCTACGCCACTGATGGCAATTGTCAATTTTATATGGTACATCTTCATGAAATTTTAATTTGACATTTTTACAATCTATATTATTACCCTTTTGTATCAAAATATTTCCAAAAACTTTAAAAACAACGATTATGACAATTGTCACTTATCAATGGTACATCTTCATTGATATTTTATTTTAACATGTTAGCATTTTCTATTTTTGCCCATTTGCTTTAAAAAAATTCAAAAAACTTTAAAAATAACGACTATGACACTTGTCACTTATCTAGGGTACATCTTCACTGAAGTTTTATTTAAACAGGTTAGCAAATTTTTTTTGCCCATTTGCATCAAAAAAATTTAAAAAACTTTAAAAATGATTATGACAATTGTCACTTATCTTGGGTACATCTTCACTGAAGTTTTATTTAAACATGTTATCAATACTTATTTTAACCGATTTACGTCAAAAAAACTTTAAAAATAACGATTATGATAATTGTCACTTTTATATGGTGCATCTTAATTAAAATTTTAATTTAACATGTTAAAAATATATATTTTACCGTAAAAAAAATCTAATAAAAATACCGATTATGATAATTGTCATTTTCCAAGGAACATCTTCAATAACG